AAAAAAAAAAAAAAAATGCTTTTATAATAAACGAATTTCCCAAACAAGTAGTAAGCCAATGAAATTATAAAGTTTATCGTCCAAAATCATCTTCTACTACTAAGCTATAAAAGTAGAAAAAGATATAAGTCAAAAACTAATAGTGGAAGTCCGATACCAAAGTTTCATTCAAAAAATAAATCTCCTAAGCAGCTGCAGCAATAACAGCAACAGCGGTAAGAGCAGTAACTAGCTAACCATCTAACTAATTGGCGAATACAAATCCCTAACAACTTTAAAACGACAGAAAAACTGAAACCAAAAATTTTATCCTCGCTTTTATGCAAATACAAAGATTGCTTTATTGATCTTATACGAAACAATCATGGATACGACAATTGTGTCAACTTAAATTAAATTTATGGTTGTTCTAAAACAAATGCAACATTCAAGCAACAACGACAAAAACATAAAATTCGCTTATTAATAAGAAGAAAAAACCAGTCTAACAACGCAAAACAAACAGTCTGTAATAGAGAGAAATAGTTGAAAGTTCGCAGAAGCAAAGCGATTAAATAAACCAAGAAAAAATTCTTTACACTCATGCATTTTTCCCTCTTCCTACAAGTGAAACCAATTTTGGCTTAAACTAACAAAAAAAAAAAGTCAAATATTTGTTAAATCCTTATACTTTGTTAGCAAAAACTAAAAGAAAAAAAAAATGAAGAATCAATCTAAGCTATTTTTCTTTCCGTTTACCAGTCATGAAGATCTTAAAGCATTCAAATAAGCTGACGATGCCATTTTAACTTCTAAAATACATTCAATGAAATGTTTTACATTCACAGTTCTCCAGTTTCTAAAACTTTAAAAAATCGTGCATTAATAGTAACTTTCAGAAGAAACAAAATTTGAAAAAAAAAAAAATTGCATTACTTTTCATTAACGTTTACCAGCTGTCTTTATGTTCGATACAACTCCTCAATATAACTGAACATTCAAAAATTATTCTGCTCGCAAATTTAAATATTTTTCTTCCCTTTGGCTGTTTATTCTTATAATTTTTTTACAAATTCAGCATAATTACAACCTAAAAAAACTAAACTGCAAAAAAAATAAAAAAAAATTTGAAAAAAATATATCTTCAAATAACAATTTATACAGCTAAAAAGAAAAAAATGAGGTACAAAAAAAAAATGAATGATAGATTTTCTAGACATCAGATCAATAAGCTCCACAACCAAATAGAAATTGACTACTATATTAAAAATTGTTCTAGACAGAAGAAAAAAAACATTTTTGTCAATAGCCTCAATCGCAAAAAGTAAATTTAATTTCTTCTAATATTTATACAAAAACCTTAACATTTCAATTTTGACTAACATATCTGAAAAAAATAATCACTTACAAACATACAACATTACATGATTTCTCAAAAACTAATATAAAAACAAGAACAAACTATGCAGCTGAAACTAATTCCTCTTTTTTTTTTTTTGTTTTTTTCTTTTAGACACCAACAACAACAACCAATGTAGGTTCAAACCGATAAACATCAATGACGACACTGTACTATCAATAAACACATAACACGCATTAAATTCGCTCTCTTTTTCTCCAGCATTTTGCGCAAACTGAACTGTTAGTCTTCTTTTATTTCAAAAGCAAAAAATGATACGAGGAGGCAAACAGCCGATGCAGACAGCAACAGAATTAATCTTTTGCTCATTTTCGCTGTTAACAACTCCACTAAACTTTAGAATTAATTAATTTTTAAACAAAATAATTTCTTACTTGCTGGTCAAATTGAAAACCGTAATACAACAAAGATAATGGAAAAAAAAAAAAAAGGAGAAAGAAAAAGGAGATTTAGAATTGGAAAATAACCCGTTTAATCCGTCATGAAAGCGACGATATATTTCAGTAGTCTAAAGTTTCCATTCTTATTATACAACTAGACACTCCAGCGCCTCTTTTCTATCAGTCCTCTAAATTACCACCAATGCATCTACGCTCTATTTTGATTAAGCTTAGCAGAAAAAAAAAATGAATCATTTAGAGCAATTTATCTCGATGTAATATCTATATTTTTTAAATATACACTTTCCAAGGTTACTAACGTAAATTTTGACGATGGAGTATATGTAACTATAAAGATCCGTAAATTAATAGAAAAAAAAGATATAAACGTAACAACAACGCATCAAAATTCACGCTCAAATTTGCCACAAGGTAGCTCCAAATCAGAAAATATTCACTATTTACATGAATATCAAAATTATACCAGCATTCGTAATAATCAAATAACAAGCAATTTTTTGGTGAAATAAACCACAAAAACTCATTTTTCAAAGATTGAAAGATCATGAACATTTATATCATTCTAATTTTAACAAATAGTTGTCTTCAACCTTAACGATAGCTGTTGCTTGAACTTTGGCATAATGGAGACCTTAAATCACATAAATGTCTAGCTGTTTAGCATTTTTCTTAAACGCTTCCCAAACCAAGACCATATGACAAGGACGGGTAGTTGAATACAAACGTGTACAAAAATTGAAGACTTGTAACAGGCACAAGTGAGAACTTATTTCGCGAAAAAATTCAAAGTTTTCGCGCATCATACACCTATTAATCAAACATTCGAGTACATTTTAATGACTTCGAAGCAGCTGGTAAAATGTATAAAAATAAAATATGATTAATAAAAGGCCGATAAGAGGAACAGTAAAGTACCTCACCATACTCCTCCAACTAAAACGCTTACTTTACGAGCAAAACTAAAGATAAAATGGTAAAACAAGACGCACGAGAAAACCCTTATAACGAACTCATGCTCCTACGTAATGAAACAAATTTCCAGAAGCTCCCAGCATATTTCCCAGACAGAAACGCCTGCTTTTTTGATGCAACAGCATGCTTTTTATCCAAAAAGAAACCGATCATGCAACTTTACCGGTCAAAAGATGAAGCCGCTTGGGTCCGTAAAGTTCCGTCAACTTTTGGGCCAATTCATTCATCGGCATACTGCCTTCACGCCACCTAACAATCAATCTCGCATATTGTGCCAACTCTTCTGTTGATAGGCAGGCTGTTAACTAAAGTGACGTTCAACTTTACTTCATTACTTCATTACACAACGCAGAACAAAAGCCATGCAAAGCAATATTAAAAGGGGATGCAAAGAAAATAAACAAATAAACACACTTAGTTGCGAAAAGTTTAATGCTACAAAAATATACCTACTAAAGAAAATATACCTACTACACTTGGTATTCACGAAATAAATAATTTTGTGATAAATATCGAAACTAGAACAAAACAGCAAACAATAATTTTCAGGATTTGTAAAAGGGATAAAAAGAGCATACACTCACTCACCATTGACATATATTCCTTGATTAACTCATCGGTTCTTTCGTCGAGAGACTCACTTCTAGAAGCAGTGGTCGAATACAACGTTCTAGTCCCAGCAGTACGAAGATCCTGATGCGAATCAGTTAAACTGAAAAAAATATTTTCAAAATCCTACCAGTGTTCGCACGAGATATGTTTGACAGCAAAAACTACACTAAATTATACCGCTCATGAATATGTTTATTAACGGTTAAAAACGAGTGTCAATTCTGTATAATGACAAATGAATATTGTAATTTTTAGAGGGTTAAAAAAGCTTACAATGATGGATGATAATTGTTAGGCAGAGATGCTGACGATGCTGTTTGTGACTCTAAAACACAA